TACGAAAACCCCCAACCCGGTACCGTACTTCCTACTGTACAATAGTAAGGTTACGTACTTCTTTCCTTCTTAGTGTGAGTATATTCTTGTGTGTGTGTGTGTGTGTGTGTGTGTGTGTGTGTGTGTGTGTGTGTGTGTGTGTGTCTTCTTTATTGATTCACCTCTTGGTGGACACCTAGGTTGCTTCTGTATCTTGGGTACTGTAAATAATGCTGCAATGAATATTGGGGTGCATATACCTTTTTGTATTACTGTTTTTATATCCTTTGGATAAATACCGAGAAGTGAAGCTGCTGGATCATATGGTAGTTCTATTTATAATTTTTTGAGGAAACTCCATGGGCAATACACTCTTTGACATTAGTCTTAGCAACATTTTTTTGGATCCATCTCCTCAGGCAAGGGAAACAAAAGCGAAAATAAACAAATGGGACCACATCAAACTAAAAAGCTTTTGAACAGCAAAGGAAACCATCAACAAAATGAAAAGGCAACCTACTGAATGGGAGAAAGTATTTGCAAATGATATGTCCAACAACAGGTTAACATCCAAAATATATGAAGAACTCATACAACTCGATATAAAAAGAAATTTTTTACAAAAACATGATCCTTTTTGCCTCTCCTCCAAATTTAGCAAGGCAAGGAAAGGCAGGTGCATGATTCTGTATCTAAAAATAGTTGAGGAGTCAGTGGGTTGGAAATCAAATCCATGGAAAGTGCAGACTGAGAGACCTTACCGTATCCATGCTGAGAGAGATGCAAGTTAAAGACACACTGCCTGCCAGCATCCTCCCTACCCGTCGCTCCTGTGAAGCGCTGGTTCCTAGCCCTTCCCACCCTGGCCGGGTTGGCTTTGCAGTCAGGGCATGGGGCTCCAGGAAACTCAGCTCAGGGTCAGTCAAGATCTATATCCACACCTGTCCATTCAAGGGAGAAACTTTTAGCACCCAACAGGGACACAGTTTGGCATGGGAATAGGTCCCGTGTTCTTGTTCCTGATGAGAGACAGATCTCTAAGGCTGAGGTGACTCTCACTGGCTAACCTTTCCTGAAGGCTCAGCCATCGCTTTGGTCAACCCCTCTGGGGCGCTTAAACTCTGGAGCTGGAGAGACGTACTCAGACCAGTTGTAGGTCACGGACACCCACATTAATTAACTTCCTTCCTTCCTCCCTCCCTCCTTTCCTTCCGCATAGCTTTTGAGTCTCTAATACGTTCCAGATCACTGTTCTCGGCACTGAAGATGGTTAGAAAACTTTCAAGGAGCTTATATTCAAGAGGAGGGAAATGGAAAATTAAGATATGATTTCTCAGATCTTTAAAAAAAATCGTGAAGGAAACTGATAGGATGATGTGGTAGAGAATGCAGGAAAGTGGATCAGGAAAGATCTTTCTGATGAAGTGACAAGAATGAAAGTGGCCCCCCTGTAGGAAGGGCCCACGGGAGCAGGGACCTTCTTTGTTTTGTGACTTAGCGTGCTATATAGTTCCATGGATGCTGCCAGAAGACACAAGATGCTCGGTTGAAGACAAAGGACTTTGTTTCTCATGGCACAGGAAGTAGAAGGAACTTGATGCTCGTGTCAGTTCCCTTTGGCCCCAAAACCCACCTGGTGATGTGTGGCTCCTGCGTGCACAGTGGGTTGGCATCATAGGCAAGGAACTGGGAGCCCAGGGAACCCCAATGTTTTTAATGGGCTCCAAGCAAACTGGTCCACCTGCTGCCTAAGGGAGATATTGTTTCTATTGTATTGGACAGTAAACAAACCTGCCCCAGGCTCCAGAGTGAGGCACAATTTCTGCCTTTCAAGGCTCTTTGCTCTACAGACATCCTTCAAAAGATGGTCTGGAACAAAAGCTGTCAGTGCCTCTGCTTGTAAGACACACACAAACAGGAGGGGCCTGTGGGGAACTGCGATGCTCCGTGAGGCTCAGCAGTTGGAATAAACTCCCAGGCCCCTCACAGCAGGGTGGGCCATGTGACTCTTCCAGCCAACGCCCTGTGAGCAGCCACCGCTGACGTGGAGCGTTCCAGGGCCCCCTCTTCACTCTGGCACAGTGACTGTCACGTTTGAGGTGGGAGCTGTTCAACCAGTCACTACAGTGAGCAGAACACTCAGCTGACCCATGATCGACAGAGAACAGAAGCAAAAACTAAACCTTTGTGGTTTAAGCCAGAGACTGACAAGCTGCAACCCACAGGTGAAATGCGGCCTGTAGTCTGTTTTCTTGTTGCCCGTGAGCTAAAGATACTTGTTTTTTGTTTGTTTTTACATTTTTTAAGTGCAGTGAAGAAAAAGAGGCAAACAGAGAACATGAGTCAGAGTCCTGTGTGGCCTGCAAAGCCTAAAATATTTACTATCTGGCACTTAACAGAAAATGTTCCCCAATCCATTAGGACAGGGCCTTACCCAACAGGATTAGTGTCCTTATAAGAAGAGCGCTAGCTCTCTCTCTTTCCCAATGAACAGGCACCAAGGAAAGGCCGCGTGAGGACACAGCGAGAAGGCGGCCACTCACAAGCCGGGAAGAGAGGTCCGCTAGAAACTGAACTTACTGGCACCTGGATCTTGGACTTTCAGGCTCCAGAACTGTGAGCAAATAAATTTCTGTTGTTTAAGCCCCCAGTCCGTGCTATTTTGTTATGGCAGCCTGAGTAGACAATTACACTTAGCTTCCTAGGGAACATTCTTCCCCTTCCAAACTTCTCTTTGCAAACCTTCAAGTTCTTCCTCTGCCATCTCAATCCTTCCGAGGCTTGCCTGCAGCTAGCGCCCTGGTAGACAAACCCGCAATGATGGTTATTAACGTCACAGCCTCTAGCTGCGATATTTAATCAGGACCACTTCTGGATAACTCCCTAACTACAAAGAATGGTTTTAACAGTGGGCTTCCAACCATTAGGACAGTCAAGCAGAGGAATTCAACGTGGCTTTCACACAAGCCTTCTAGTGGACCTTAAACCCCTCCAAAAAGCAGCTGCCTTCTCACTTGTAGATGGTTTCAACCTTAAACTTCAGACTGCAGCAACCTTTTCACTTTCAACATCCAGGCAGGGAATAATTATTCTAGTACAGTGAACAAGGGAAATAATTATATTTAGAAATATCAGTCATTCATTATTGTGTTGTTTATTTGAAATCAGATTGTTATGTATCATGTGTTCATTTTTTTAGTGTTTACTGACACAATGTCTATTTGAAATATGGGAAAGACATATATTTCATTGGGAAAGACAGTACAGTTCTTCAGGGTAGGAATCATGCTGTGAACTCCTTTTAATATTCTGCTAAACAAAGGTTTAACGAAACCACTGTGTAATACACATACTCAACAAATGTGTGCTGGCTTACTGAATAACTGAAGCTGGAATTAAGTATCAGTAATGCATTGGGTTACAAGTAGCAAAACATTAAACTCACAGAATCTTAATAGGGATTTATTTTTCTTACAACAAATTATTCTTAAAAGTTGGTCAATTCTGGCTTTGGTTTAGCAGCTCAGAAATGCCATCAGAGACTCAGTCCTTCATCTACTTGGACCCTGTCATCCTTAGTGTGCTGGCTTTTGTTCTCATGCTTGTGCCTCATGATCAAAAGTGACCGCCACACACACACAGATGTCAGGCCCGCACTGAAGCACCTGTCAGAACTGTGTCCAGTGGCCACTGTCAGTTGCTAAGGAGGCTTGGAAGGTAAGTACCTCGTTTTTTAACCTAACAGTGATGGTTAAAGGTGAAGATGAACAGAAATAGGTGCTGAGTGAGCAATAACTGGAAGAAACTGCTTTGTGTTTGGAGACGGTGATTTTTGCAAAATTAATCTTTAATGCTAAAATGTAGGGAGTGATATTTGCACCTGATATCTTGGAGGTTCTACAAATTGATAATTCTGATTGAGAATTACTTCCTTTTCTCCGATTATAAAACTAGTGCATGTTTGACCTGCTTCTGGTTAAGATACAGAAAGTCGCAGCAGACCATTATTCCCACCGCAACAAGCAGAAAACGCCGGATGAATTGCAAAATATCTTTTAAAAATAACAATGGATACTGTGAATGAAGAAGGTCTAGAGGAACTGAATTCCAGAGTAGAAAGATCTCCTTGTTTCTTCTGTGAATGTAGGTCCACAGCTTTTTTCCTCCCTGAGGCATCTGACACGTGTGTGCGTGGGCTGAGAACTGGGCTCGCTCCTGCAGAGGAGCTCTGTCAAAACACGGAGCAACAGCAGGACTTTCGAGGGCTGCTGTGAAAGATTCAAGTCTGGGCTATTCCTAAATGCAAAGACAGTGTTCTGCTGCTGCTTTCTTCTCACGGCAGTTTTAATGAGTGCTTTGGTGGTGTGTGCGGTGCAAGCTGAGCTTGAAAGGCAGAACAAAGTTTCCTGCAGTCCTAGGGCACACAGAAGGCAAGATCACGCTCGAGAGAGGAACACACAGTAAACTAAGCACACATCTCACCCTTGAGACATTTGAAACCAGAGATGAATTGAGTCTACAAAATCTACAGTCTTTTCCCAGCTCAACTGTTGACTGAGAAAGGAAAGGTCAAATCCTCTCCGGGGAAAACAGCATTTACTTCAATCTTCACACAACTTTCGTACACAATTTCTGGCATGTAAGAAAAAAATTACACTACTTTTTAAAAAAGGCAATAAAATGTGATATAATCAAGAGAAAAATAATCAAGAGAGGCAGACAAACAGATGACCCCGATGTTGTATTTTAACACACAAGGTTTTACAATGATTATTATAAACGTGTTAAAGAAACGAACGGGGAAAAGGTGAACAAAACTGATGAAAAGACAGAATTTCAGCAGGGAAATGGAATCTACCTACTTATCTATCCCAAAAGGACATTCTAAGCCTGTAACATTTGAAGAATTTATTGCATTTTACTAAGTTTAATAGCACAATCAAACATATGAGAAGACAGGATTAGTGAACGGAAAATCAGATCAATAGAAATTACCCAAACCTAAGCATACAGAGACAAAAAGAATTTAAAATCAGTATGTAAAAATGTGAAGAACACTTGTCAAATTATGTAACACTTCAACATGTAAAGTCCTAAAGGAGACAGAAAATGGGGCAAAAGCAATATTTGAATTTTCTAGATCTGATGAAAGACCTCAATCCACAAATTTTAGAATCTCAGTGCATCTCAAGCAAGAAAAATAAAAGAAGTCAAATTTAAACATCTCACATGCCAAATGCTGAAAACTAGAGATAGAGGGAAAAAATCTATAAAGTAGCCAGAGGGATAAAAAAACACATTAAGTTCAAAGGAACAACAATTAGACTGACAAACGTTTAAACAGAAACTCTGGAATCCAGGTGACAATGGAATGGATGACAATGAGGAATGGTGCCTGACAGTTTAAGGTGCTTCAGGGGAAGGAAGGAAGGAAGGAAGGAAGGAAGGAAGGAAGGAAGGAAGGAAGGAAGGAAGAAAGAAAGGAAAAGAAAGAAAAGAAAAGAAAGAAGAACAAATAGGACTCCTGCCAACCTGTAATTCTTAACCCTGCAAAGTTAACCAATTAAGAAATGAAGGACAAAATAAGATATCTGAAAACAAAGATCTAGATAAATAATTTCCAGCA